CTCTTAAAAGAAATCTTTCTTTTGATAAAGTTAAACATAATAGCAAAATACTTTTAGCAATATCATATCACATCTTTCAAGCTTCAGCAATCCTAGATCAGTTTGAAACTAATATCCTTTCATTAAATATGAGAGTTTTGAACATTATACATTACACTTCAACATATTTTTTTTTTTTGCTACTTTGACAACCAATGTAATAGTTATTTCCTTCATTGCCTTAATCTTTTTAATAGTACATTCATCAATGAAGTTATGGATACTTCTATTAACAACCAAGATCACTAATGTTTTTTCAACACCACTTCCTCTAATCCTGATTGTGTTATAGGTATAACTTTCTACCAATACATTCAATGATAGGCCATATTCTTCAATGTCTTCAGAATCTATCTTATTATTTCTACCTTTTATTTCTTTTACAAAGTTATCCTCTTATTTCTTATCTTTTTCTTTCTTTCTTTCTTTCTTTTATCAAATGTATACTTTTATTTTGATATAAATAACCAGGATTGTACCTTTTTGCATACTTATAACATTGCCTCGATAGTCTTTTTTGTTTATAAACAAATTCTTAAGGTTGTTTTGAACCTTGTATTGTATAATTCTTAACTGGATTGTAAGACTTTGATGATGGATTATTTATCCATCTATTAGTATTGACTGGAACCATTGATCTTGTGGCCATCTTTTTCCTCTTGACTGTAATAAATTTTGATTCTTCCTACCATTTGGATTGTTCAAATGACTGCATTAATATGACTGGCTTTAAAATTTTCAACATACGCTTCACATCTTCTTTAAATCCATCGATGAAGCTTGAAATATAATACATTAAAGATTTAAGTTCTTCAAACTTTTTAATGTATTATTTTATTCCTTTTTACTATGTCAATTTATTAACTTCTTCTACCATATCTTATTTGTTGCCAAATCTTATACAAATTCCTTTTCTACAAGCATCCTAACTAGCCATATCTTTGTTGCTTTGAATGTATTCTTCAAATCATACCTCAGCTTTTCCTTCTAAGTATAGAGGTTATCTCAACTCATTGGCCAACTAGAATAAAGTATAACTTGAAGTGTTTTTTGCATTTTCTAATCTAACTTTAAGGGTTTCTCTATATATATTTGTTATCTCTGTCCTGGATAGAGCAACATTATAACCAAGTTCATGTCTTTCATAAAATTTCACCTTCTTTATTCTTGTATGTGTTATTTTATTATGGTAGAATTTCATTGGGAAATGGATTGTTTCTTACATTGAGGAATGGACTATATCTGCCTTATTTTTAGCTTCTTAATTGTTAGCTATTATTGAATCCAACCTAGAAGTGAATTGTTCGTTTTCATGTTTTGTTCTTCCCATTGCCTTTGATTATGCATAAATTTATCATTCTTGCCTTATAATTGTTTTTGAAATTCATCATATATTCTTTGTATTTGTTCAAAATAATTTTTGTTGTTTTCAACCATGTTTAATAGTAATGACTGGATCTTTGAGGATTTGATACCAATTTGTTAAGAACTAATCTTAACAAAAATGTCAAAATAAGTACAATTGAGAATTAAAAGAGAAAAGATTATTATGAAATTACAAAATTACAAGATTTTCTTGATTGATATTTCTTGAATTAAATGTTACTGAATTCTTGATTTATATACATTGGATTTCCCTCTCCCTAATTAACTAACAAAATCAACTATTAATTGCCACTAATTTTTTATTTATCAAACAAGATTCATGTGTCAATTCTAATTATTTATTCAACAAGAACTTTTGCTTAAACTCCGTCCTTTTTGTTACTTCTATGACTGATATTCTATAATTATCTCATGTGTCATGCCTCCAATATTCTTCTTTTATTTCTTATTCTTATTGTAACATATTTACCTTAGATCTATATAGTATCTCACTCCTCTGTGTATAAAAGGGTAGAAATTGAAGCATAAGAAACTAATTAATCTAAAACATGAATTTTATTTAAAAAACTTGTTTCAAACTCAATAAATGTTTAATAGTGACATAGGTTTTGTTTTTAGTGTATTTCACTTGAAAAGAAATAAAATTAATATTTTTTTAATATTTTTTGATAGTTTTGATGTGCTTATATTAAAAAATAAAAAATTATTTTAATATATTTTTAAATTAAAAACTTATTTAACCACAGTACACACATGTAGAAACCAATGAAAATCTATATAATGATACCTGAGTTTAAAAAGAGAGAAAGGAATCATTCAAGGCATTCAACAAAAGAAAATGTAATTATGATCTTATTTGTTTGCTGAAAAGTATTTTTTTTTTAAAGTGAATTCCGAGAAAGTGAATTATTTTTTGATGTGTGATAGTGTAATGAAAAATAAATTGAAAAACACTTTTCAAAATTTAGTTGTGTCATGAAAAATGAGCTGAAAAAAACTTATTAATAGTTTATTTTTTTCAAGTTTATTAAAATAATGAGGGACAAATCTTATAAATTAAAAAGTTAAATAATAATGAAATTGAAAAAAAAAATAATTTCATAATTTATCTTAAATAAAATAAATAATAATCAAAATAATAAAGATCAAATCTAACAAATAAAAAAAATATAAAGATGAAGAAATTAAAACAATAATAAGTATCATTTCATAAATTATTTCAAATAAAATAAGTAATAATCAAAAGAATATGGATCAAATTTGATAGATAAAAAAATTCAATTAAAAAATGATAAAGAACAAGTAAATAACAATTATAAAAATAAGGACTAAAATTAATATAAAAATTAAATTCTAAGGGATTCAATTGAAAAAAAATCAAAACAAAATATATAACAATCAAAAGTTTGAGAATCAAATTTGATATAATTAGCAAATAATATGATATTTCTAAATTTTTCATAACTTTCAGAAAGTGTTTTTCACCCAAAATAAATAAAATTTTTGAAAGTGTTTTTCACCCAAAATAAATAAAAAAACATTTTTCTGAAAACCAAACCAAATTTATCTTTGACTGGAAAGTATTTTTCATTGACCAATTTTTCTAATGACAAACAAACATAAAAAAATTTAAAAAATGGTTTTCATAAAACCACCTTCTGTCGAACAAACAAAACTATATATATCAATAAATTATAATGTGATGAAATGTTTGTTTTTTGTTTTATTAAATTTCATAATTAAGTGTGAATTTTAATTAAAATATTTAAGTCTTATGAGAGGTAATTTATTTTTAAATTTTTGTAGAGAGAATTATTTTATTGATTTTTTTTCCTCTTTAGAATTTTTATTGATCACTTACCTGTAAAGCATTTGATTTATTAACTAAAAAATGACATGGCAACATGGAAAAAAATATCTTTTGTAAGAAATAAAATTAACTAAACTTGATAATTTAATATAAATTTGATGAATATCAATATGACATGATTTGGATACGTATATTTTTTTTATATTTATCTTACTCAATGACATTAATGGGTAAAGTATAATATCATCAAACTTGATCAAAGCCAACCAAAAACCTCACATGAAAAGCATCTATATACCCTGGTATTAACATAACGCGCGCAAGCATATATATATATATATAATAAAAAAAAATACTCATAAATACCCATTTTGTTTTAAAGGGCAAGCGCACATGTCCAAGTTGCAAGGCAAAACAAACAAGAGCATTAAAAAAATTGGATTTGAAATAGAATGATGATTACTTGTGTTAAAAGTGTTCATAAAAATTAGGACCCACCTGAAATCATTACAACTGGGGAAACTGCTAATTTGGAAAGGCATGCATTTGTGTTACTATAATAATACTATGTACAATCATGTCTTGGTGGTGGTGGCATAGGCAATAAGGCTTGTAGGAGCGGCCTAGACACCATTTTATTTTTTTAACCTAATGCCAAAATACAGCACAAGCCTGAAGCCCCACGTTGTTCCCTGAGAACAAAAGTCAACATCGAGTCAGAACATGCACATGAGAAGCATAAGCAGTAGGGGCCATTTTTTCATAATGGAGATGGGGCTCTTGAGCCTGAAATGGTCGCTTTAGAAGCTCCACCTTCACTCCTGCTAGAATGGAGGAACCACGAGACCAAGGATTTGAGGGCAAAAACAGACGTTAGTTACTGCTCCCCTCTTCTGTTCAGCATGGAGACAAATTATTCGAGGTTTCCAAGGACAGGAGGGAAAAACCAGAACTAGAGAGAGATAAAAACACAGCCAATTCAGCTTTAGATTTCTAAGAATCTGAACATTTCAATGTTTTTTTTATTATTATTATTATTATTTATCCCTTTTGTCATGGATAAAACCTAGCAGTCCACGGTCGATGAGCAGTTTGTGACAGGCAAAGTTGAAAGCGAAAACTGTGGCCAGTGGCCCCCTATAGCAAGGGGCCAGTTTTGAGGCCGAAAGGGAACTCGGACGCCTAAAAAAGTACGAAGGTTGGTACCACTCGGCCACAAGGCCGTTGGTGCATAAATTTCAAACAAGTTGTCATGGATTCTAAAAACAAGTAAGAAGCTAAGCCTTGGTGAGAAAGAAACAGCACTTCCATCTCGCTTTCACAGCATTATAAATAAATTAAAAAAAAAAAAAAAAACACCGCTGCTTTTTAACAAGCTCACCTTTTCTTTTTGACTAGTGAATTTGACAAGATTTCTTAATGGCATATCCCTCATAATCAAGGTATCATGGACACAATTTCAAGTACAGTGGGCACCCATAAGATCTGAAAACAGTAGTTCTCCACCTCATGACCAGATATTACATTTCACCTCGACAATCTAAAGAAACAGGGCAAAAGATTCCGGTTACATTTCAAGGATGAGGCCAGCAACATCTAGGCAGAAGTCAAGTTTTGTAATCAGAATTGTCTGCCTTTTATTCTGGTTTCTAATCTCCTCGGCTATCAGGAAAGCAGGAATTGTGAACAGATAGATATGGCGGAATATCCCCAGAAGAAAACAAATCAGAACACAGAAAGTAGAATTAGCTGATGCCAGAATAGGAGTTGTTGCCAGAATCGAAACTCTTGATAGAACCAAATGAACCTGTTACATCCTTAAATCTCATAAATCATGACAATCAATGTTAAATAACAGAAGGCAAAGCACCATGAAAACTATAATAATCATCAAATAAAAAAATAAAACTTCATTACAGTCATTATAGCATCCAGCTCTCGAAACTAATTTGCCCTCTCATCAAAGGATGCCTGGTAGAAATGGAACTGATGCTGTATGTTTACTTTCAACATTAGCTTGTTCTTCATGCATTTGCCCTCTCAACTGATGCTGTATGTTTACTTTCAACATTAGCTTGTTCTTCATGCATTTGCCCTCTCAACTGATGCTGTATGTTTACTTTCAACATTAGCTTGTTCTTCATGCATTTGCCCTCTCATCCCCGCCTCCTCCAGAGACATACGAGTTTCAACAGAAGAGTTGTCTTTAACTTTAAAAACAGCATCCACGACAACAATACTTCTAGCATCAGTGTCTCCATGCTCTTGCTCTTCCACAGGTAGCTTCTCCAGGTTCTAAGTTCTCGCAACTGAAAGCATATCTTTAACTATCATGCAGTTTGACTGGAATATGATCCACGAGTGCAATCGTCTCATTCTCAGACTCCTTGAGTTGTTCTCCACCTGAAACAATTTTTTGTCACAGATTTATCATCTTCATCCATCATAACTTCCAGGTTATTTGCAACTGAAGAGATATTTTCAACTTTTGTTTCATCAGCAGCAACGAGAAGAGGAATATAAGATATTTTCAACTTTTGTTTCATCAGCAGCAACGAGAAGAGGAATATAAGATATTTTCAACTTTTGTTTCATCAGCAGCAACGAGAAGAGGAATATAATCTACCATTGTAATCGAATCATCTCCCCGACTCTCCTAATTGTTCACTGCTTGAAACTTTTTCAGTCACTGGAATTTTTTTCTGAGTCTTTAACATCAATATCCATTATGTCTTCATTCAAAGAAACATTTTGTACATAAAACTGCATCAGAGGAGTTCTCAATCTGATGAGCAAGAACATTAGCATTCTCACACAAAGTATCTGTTCTAGCATTATCAGCACTAGTATTTGCCTCAACGTCCAGGGTAGATGTCTGACTCATCGCACTCGCATTAGATAACACAACATTTATTTGAGAACTAGGGATGCTTATTTGTGATTGCATATCATTCTTTTCATCTACTATTGAAGGAAGTATAACATCTGATATGTTTGGATTCTTTGATTCTACCTTGGTGGGGGTCCTCACATGGCCTCTAATTCCCTCATATTTGGTGAAAGGTCTCGTGTCATCATTTCCTCCTTCAAATGCTCCACTAGTTGCAAGTGGCGCCTAAGTTGCCTGAATATTAGCTAAACAATTGGCACCCATGCTGTTAAAAACATCGGAAAAATAATTGCTGTTGAAGGTATTTATGGATACTCTAGTGGTGGAAGAAAAAGACTTTCCCATATCATCCAGTTGTAAATCCCCTTCAACACTGAGATTGGATCCCATATAAGCCTGTTCACCGACGTAAGTTCCTTTGCGTCACATATTTTACCAGATGATATTTTGGTTCAATTCTGTTAGCTTCTTTGTGAAAGTGCTTTCTCCTTGAAGCATTCATTATAAGATCCCTACAAGACATTTGGAAAAGAGATAACTATGAGCTCACCATAATTAGGCTTTGCAATTGAGCTTTTTGCATGATTTTGTGCCTACAAGCTTTTGAAATTCATGATTTAGCTCGTTTCATATAAAGACCAAGCAAAGATGACAAATTTGCAACATCAAATCGCCCTCTAAATTCATTTACAGAAGAATCAGCACTTGTGGAAATGAGATTCTCTCCACGAGTCCATCGCACTAGTAACTGAAAGTTCAGAAAGAGTATAGCTCAAATGATTAGAGAAAACATGCTTCGACTTTTCAGCTAAAAACAAAAATAAATCGGCCTATAAGTATATAACAGGTTCATACCGATACCTGTAGGATGAATCACAACTATTTGTTCTTTATTTTATTTTTAAATAATCTTTTATTAAACAGCACTCAACGCGCATTGAATTCGAGAATCGATTTTGTACCTGTAGGGATCCCAACAGTCCCAAGTGATGCTTTCATTCTAAACAGCACTCAATGCACATTGAATTTGAAAGTCCATAAAACAGTGTTTCGCTTCTAGATGAGTAGAACATTAAACAATAAGATGAAAGTAGAGAGTGAATGGGGCTTAGACGCGTCAAGTTGACGAGAGCAACAATTGTAAATAATGTCTAGTCAAAACACCAAATATTCTATAACTCTAGTTGTTTACACATTTTCTTCAATGCAGACTCGATTCTGCAACAACATGAGATCCACGAATCTGGAGTTTCGTGATGGCATCTTTAAGCCCTTATATTTCTTATGCAGAGGTCAATTAGCAGCTGCTTCGCAGAACCATTCAATGAGTTATGGAGGATAATCATGTTAAATAATATTTATTTAGTTTTATTTATTAAATATAGAATAATATTTTCAGTTTAATTTATATATAATTACTTTGCATTCAAGTTAACTCTAAGCATTCATAGTAAACAAATCATAAAGAATTCTAGCCTTTTTTTATATTTGATTTTAATTATTTTAACAAATCAAACACTCAAAACATGATTAAAGGAACCTCTACCAGCCAGGCATACAGTTTGTATTTCAGATAACCTAAAACAATAGCATTTGAGGAAATCAACGTCAAAAGGCAAGTAATATATACTATTGCTACTGGTTTTCTTTGGAGTCATTTTTCTTGATAAATTGTAGGGTTAACCATTATTTAATTGCTAATAATGCCGTCCGTGTGTGTGTGGATGCATGAAAATAATCAACTTTTAGAGCTTTTGGAAGAATTGATATTTCTTTGTAATTTTAGTCTTCCTATCTAGTTTTGGAATCCCCAAGTTATTTGGATCTTTTATTAGTTGTATAAATTAGGGCTGCCTCTGATATTTTCAGACACATCGCATATCTTATCAATCAATTTCCATATTAGAGACTGTTACGATAATGATAGAGTGCAATGTTTTTTTTTTTTTTTTTGAATAAAAATACATTCTATTTGGGTATTGACAGAACTAGACCGCAGCAAGAGTACACAGACAATAGCAGTTCACATTTACCATGTCTTGAAGATTAAGCAAGCTTGATTATTAAAAGGCGATCCAAGCAGAAATTTGAAAAAGCTCTCATGTTTTAGCATCATTCGTCCTCGTGGTTTTTAGCTAAATTGCCTTTGAACACTCATTCTTGCATGCTAATGATTCCTATTTCAACTCTGAGGAGGCACAGCAACACACATGTATCAACGTGAATGTTTGTTCCAGCTAATCGATTTTTCTACCCATCACAGAAATGCTGGTTTGTTTTCTGGAAGCTCACAATTTACAAGGACCAAACAGGCACCAACAATTTTCATGATATGATTTATACATGGTGCAGGCTGATGATTAAGTCCATAAAATTCAAACTCTGTGTTCCAAGACGAGTTTCATCTATCACTTGTTCTGATATCAGAAGAGGTTGATGGGATCCCCTTTCTTATGCTCCCATGTCCCGGAAGGTATCAGAGGCATGCACAGGTTTCCTCAGGCTGGACAGAGATTGGCCCTACACCTCCGAATATAAGAACTAAACCCAAAAAACTTCCCAAAAGGAAGAATGAGAGACTCTATTAGAACTAGTTGTCTGAGGTTAAACCGCACTTGCAACAACAATCATTGCCAAGGACATTTAAGCTTGGAGGCCCAAATCATACTAGCATCATGACAGCTCAACGATGAGTCCAGACTCATTTGTACTGGAGAATAGGATTTCTTCAATAGGGTTATTTTTCCCCAGTAACGGTGATGGTGTTCTATAAAAGAAACGCCGAGAATTGCAAAAAAATTTGTGTCGAACTTGTCAAGTGGGGAGAGGGGGTAATGTGATTGGCATGCCATTACATCAAAGCATTACATATTTGTAAGATACATGTGTTGCAAAGTAATTCATCGTAAACACGCATCGCATGTCATTCACAAACAAGAAATGAGACGGATTCTTGGATTTCTTCCCATAAATTTGACTTCACTTATCACCATGGCTCGTTACCAAAATGATTCCAAACTTTAATGCCTTAAGCAAACCGCAGAGCATTGAACAGTCCCAAAACTCACCTTCGCTTCGCACTGGGTATCGTTTGCCTCCTCACTTAGAAAATCAGCAATAAGATCAGCGTATGTAATTCCGAAATAAACTCCATGCTGATTATGAATACCAAAAGAAAAGATTAAAAAAAGCCCATCAGGCAAAACCACCAACAGAAAGAAATAAATTAAAAAGAAAAAATGAGAAAGCTATTGAACAGCAAACAAACCTCTATCGCAGCGTTAACCATAGGCAGCTTTTCAAAACAGGATTCCCAGCGTTAAGCGCCCGGACCTGAGAAGGCAATGGAAGGAGCCACGTGGAGTGGAGTAAAGAGAGAGAAGAGAGTGGGATTGAGCAACTGTCGTGGTCAGACATGACGTCGCCTTCTTAGATGCAGCGGTTGTATGCGATGCCACTGTATAAGAGGTAGTGTCATGGGGCATCTTAAGGTCGAAGAATCAATCCCCTTTTTCATATTAATGATGATTTTTTTTTTCAAATTTCTTTTTTGCATTTGATTACGGGGACGAAGACAATAAAAATAAAAGAAACGTGTCCATGAATTTTATTTTATTTTTTCTATTTCTAAACATAGAAGACGAAACATTTGATTTGCTAGTGCCAGGCATGCAACCCTTCATGGGTGTGTTTAAACGTGTTTCTTCGGCATACTAAGATGAAAGATCTGCAAGTTGAATTCCAGAATAATCCATTGTTCTAAAAAAAGTAGTCGATACAATTCTGCCTAATCGAAACCTAATTTAGTCCACGTCAACCCTTAATTGTACTAAAAAGTGAAGGGTTTAAGGTAATGGGCCAAGATTAGCAATCCAACTGAAGATCCATCAAACCAACCACGATCCTTTCCGAGAGCTCGCTTACTCTGCCTTGTGCTTTGAATGTCTGGTTGAATTAGACTGTCGCAACCCTCGTGTACATCTCCCAACAAACTTGAGAACCTCGTCGATTAGAATGACCGGGAAAGCCACAGCCAGTACCAAAAGCCATTCGTTAAAGCTGAGCGGAACAATCCCAAATACTTGAGCTAGGAAAGGTACGTAAAGGATTAGAGCGTGCAAGCCGAATGAAATAGACATGGCTAAAAGGAGCCATGGATTGACCCATGGGGGCATTCTCAAGAGGCTGCAGTCTTCAGAGAGGGCGTTGAGGGAATTGAACATCTCAATAGCAACCAATACGGAAAGCGAGAGAGTTGATGCCTTGATTTTTCCAGATCGGAAGTATTCACATGGATTTGCATCGAAGCTGAACACTTGCGACCCAGCTGTGAATGGTGACACGGAAAAATTCTTCCAAGATTCACACTGGCCCCAGTTTGCGAGCTGAGAATAGGTGACAAGACTATGGCCATCTCCACTAAGGTCAATACCCATGAATGTGTGATGTGTGTACCATATGATAAATACACCAACTGTTGCAATCCCAACATAGAGTCCAATCACCTACACATCAAGGACACGTTAAGGTTAACGAGTTCCCCAGCATTAGAGCTAACTAAAGGGCAAGAATAGAAAAGTTTTCTGATTGTGGAGAGAAGAAAAGCTCTGATTGCGGGA